TGCGTTTTGGGGGGAGTGAGGGGCCTATTGAGGGTTTGCTGGCGGATGCAGTGGTGGCTGCTGAGGATGCGGAGGGCCCGTCGTCGTCGTCGTCGTCGTTGTCGGAAGCATCGAGATCTATCTCGTCTGTGTTCGTTTTGGCGGTCGGTGGGAGGGAGGGGCCGGCGGCCGTCTTGGACGCAGAGGAACCTTGCGCTGCTGGAGCGCTCGGCCCGAAGCCGTCGTCTGAGGAGTCGTCGTCGTTGATGTCGATCTCGTCTGTGTTGCGTGCTTGCTTCGTTGGCGGTGACTCGTCTTCTTGGTTGTCGGGGGTGCGCTTGCGCTTCGATGGGCTGGGCGGCATCTGGGGGCCGATTGAGGTCATTGTGAAGCTTGCACTGCTGAGATAAGTGCTCGTCTGAGTGAATTGAGCGGCTTTTCGGGGAGCTCAACGTCACTTTTCGTATCGTTGTTGGATGGTTTGAAGGAGTGAACTGTTGGCCGTCTGTGGGATCCTCTTGTGAAGCTTGCCTGCGACGGGGGGTTGCTTGCGATTCCCGGCCTGACTAATGCGGTAGCGGATACACTATGGGTGATGAATCGGGCATGTGGATCAATTACCCCAATGTCACTGTCTGGCATCTATCATTACAGGTCCTCAGGACTTGGTATTCAGAACAATTGCCTGGCGGTCTGGGAAGCAGCATTGTCTGCCATGCTGTGTGGAACGAAACACAATTCCCTCCCGAGCCGAAGCGCAAGGCAAGTTGAGTTATGGACCCGTGATCCCAGGTAAGGTCCCAGGCGATAGTTCAGCGTGCTCATTTGTGTCTTCTTGGAGACAGGATCATCCACATCATCATCGAGAAGACCAGCATCACCTTGGGCATCTATGGGTAGGAGGACGGCTCTCGTTACCAGAGTCTATTTATCTATCAACCCAGAAAATTCACGGTCTAGCCGTTAATGTAGGTTGAATTCATTGCCTCTGACATGGTCGATTTGAGAATTGTCTCAAGCTGGCCTTCAGTGCCGTTGACAATGCCCTTACCCATGATATCAGGCACAAAAGCCCATGTCGACCAGAGTCCCATTACCGAATCATAAATAGCATGCCATTTCTCAAAACCTGACGTTCATTATCGTCGAGTTGCTTGGGTGGGTGACAACCCCGATGAGCTTCCGTCTTGTTTCAAGGTTTGCCACCAATCGTGATCCAATACAGCCTCCCTGCGCCGGGGCAATACAACGCTCAACACAAGGGAGCTACAGCTCAATAAACTGTGTGAAAGATCAAAAGGCATCATGATAGATAGACTAGTTCACATAGCGAGAGGTCCATCATCAAAGAAGCAGACATCAATAAACTGGGTGCAGCCTTATGGAGATCAGCGAGCACGGTGCAGCGTTCGTTATGCAGATCGCGCAGCCACTTGGCTTTGGCACCCCTGACTGCCAGGCTCAGGCCCGCCGGATGAACCGCGGGCCGTTACAGCGTTGGCCAGTGGAGGCTCCTCCCCACCCCCAAAGCAACTGCGCCTCTAGGCAGTTGGAGCTTCCCAGGCGACGTGATACTTGGCTCGCCGCGCACTCCAGGCTGATTCAAGCTTCCTCCACTCGACCACCTCTTCTTGAGACGCGGCTGTTGTCTGACCAAGAGAACGATTGGGCGATACTACAGCTTATACTCTTTATTTAAAGCTCAGAGATCCATTGCCATATACCCAGACATCCGACATCGAACGGGTGACCCAGCACCTCGGAGCTCCACTGAGCTCTTTCGACACTCTCGGAGGACATGATACGCGCGTAATGCTCTGCTATCGATGAGCCCACCCCCAACGGAGAGTGACGAGGGACATGGTCGGACAATGGCCGAAAACGATGACAGTTCCTCCCCGGATACTTCGCAGTCGATCATCGAAGAGGATTCGACTGGCGCCTCCAACCACGATGATGTCCTTCACCTTGCTGAAGAGCAAGATACGCAGCTCAACCACGCGTTAGAGCCACCAAATCCCGTGGAAACTGGGATCACGGCGAATCGATACCGACAAATACTGCGTGGTCAAGTGGATGATGTGTCGGAGGATGGATCCGTGGACGCCCTGCCACGGCGACTAGGCAGTCCTATCGATTCCCTTCTCTCAGTGCCGGATGACACTCCATCCATTGCGGTATGTTCAGACCATCTTGCGCGGGAGGGTATGAGCTGACGAGCTGCAGGGCTCAGGAGTATCTTCCCCCGGAAGCAGTGTCCTTCCTTCTGTTGCTTCACGACCTGGCCTCAGCAGCCCGACACCTTCATTCAGGCCCTTTGACCGACGATTCCAATCGCGATTATCCTCTAGCTTCACCGGGAGCCCGCGACCTTCCTCGCCAGCGTTCCTGTCAACACACAGCCGCAACGCCTCCCTGAGCTCTCAAATCATATTTAGCAAAGACGACACCGAGGTCCAGACACCACCTTGGGAGGTCGTCCGATGGACAAAGTTGAAGAAGATGAACAGTCAGGCGTTTTCGGAAGCCGGGAAGCGAAACTTTGGTGTACCAACCTGCATCGCCGTGTCGGCCTCGATTGTACTCGGCACGAGCAAAGGGATAATCTTAATGTTTGACTACAACCAGAACCTCAAGACCATTCTGGGGCCTGGGACAAAGGCCGTCGAATCTGGTGCCATCACCTCCATTGCAATTTCGGCGGACCACTCAACGATTGCAGGAGGTCATGCTAATGGCAGCATCTTCACATGGGACACCAGCAGGGCGTCGAGGCCTTTTCTACAAATTCCCCACCTCGAGCCATCCCAGATGCAAAATCGGACGGAAGACGGCCACGTTCCCAACGTGGCCGTCACGCACCTCGGGTTTCTAGGCACCAGGCACACCGCCCTGGTTTCTGCTGATGACAAGGGCATGGCCTTTTCGCACCTTGCGACAAGGGGTACAGGTGCTCTGGGAAGGACGGTAAAGACAACCAGGATTCTGGGTCGATATCCGGACGCGCCTGCGCCAGTTGGAAAGACGATGCGGCCCAGCACCGTTTTAGCCTTAGCCTCCTGTCCACTGGGGAACACGGAGAGAGCTACGGATAGCGTGGGCCTGACGGCCATGCTGACGCCTTATTTGCTCGTCATTGTCTCTACAACACCTCTTGCACAGACACAACACAAATCCGCTCGACCCAAAGATGTCGCTCAACACAGTGCCATGACCGGCTGCCTTGCATGGTTTCCAGCTGTCAAACTTAAGGTTCCAGATCATACAACAGGAAGCGACATCTCTAAAGTCAAGCTCGTGTACTGCTGGTCCAACGTCCTGACCATTCTCGACGTCGATGAGATTCCTTCGGACAACAAGGACAAACCATCAACTCTCACTTTCAAGTCGCGGAACCGGTGGAAGTGCGACGAGGCAATAGTTGCTGTTCAGTGGCTCAGTCGCTCTGTTCTCACCGTCCTCACCATCACCCAACAACTCATCGTGCTGGAGGATCGAAGCATGCGCATGACTGATGGCTTCGATCTCATTCACAAGTACATCTACCACGTCGATATCTTCTCTAAGCAGCTTCACTCCCTGGTCGAGCAGCATGACGAAGGAGACACCTCGATGCATGGCGTGGTGGCAGATGCGTTCTACATGAGCTTCAAAGCATACAAAGGGCGTCTCTTCCTGCTTGGGTTCAATGACGTTTCCATCGGGTCTTTATCGAATTGGGCGGACCGACTGATTGCTCTCATGGAGAAGGGCGACTACATTGCTGCCATACGCCTTGCAACCTCGTATTACACGGGCGACGCCGAGAAGCTGACAGTCGGCCTCCCAGAAGACACAGCTCTTCGACATTCGATGGTGCATGACAAGTTGATGGAGATCATGAGCGCATCGCTGAAGTACGCCTTTAGCCAGCGACAGAAAGATCCTACGGTGGTAGATGAAACTCACCTGCAGGAGTTGGCCGAAATTTGCTTCGTGGCTTGCCAAAGCGTAGGTGATCTTGACTTCCTCTTTGACGAGATGTACGAGTGGTACGAAGACGCCGGCGTGGAAGGAATTTTTCTCGAAACACTTGAGCCACATATCCTCGAGAGGACTATCACCGTTGCCCCCCCCGGTGTCATCAAGTCGATGGTGACCTATTTCGTTACCAAAGGATGGGAAAGTCGTCTCGAGGAAATGATCGTCCACATGGAAACTACCACACTGGATCTCGACCAAGTCACTCTTCTCTGCAAACAGCACAGGCTCTATGACGCTCTAATCTACGTGTGGAATCAAGCTCTCGGCGATCATATCACACCTCTCATCGACCTCCTGAGTCTGTTGGTGCCCCTCATGGGCAATGGCGAATATCCATCCTCTGATGACACGGACGATCAATACAGCGCCGACGCTGTCAAGATGTTCCCTTATCTCTCATACACCCTGACTGGGAGGATTTATCCGACAGGGGAGTACTTGGATGATACAGCAGGACCAAAGGCGAAAGCTGAGATCTACTGGTTCCTGTTTTCGGGCAACAGCGTTACATGGCCTAGAGGGAGCAAACGCCGATTTCTTACAAGACCGTCACAAGCCAGTGAGCCCTCTTTCCCCTACCTTCGACTCATCCTCAAATTCGATGCGCCCAGTTTCTTGAGTGCCCTCAACGAAGCGTTTGAGGACTCGTATTTGAACAACTCACCGGAGAAACACACCGGAACCGTTGACGGGGATATGCCTGAAGAGCAGATCTTTGGGATGACTGTGGACCGGCAATATATCGTGTCCATCCTTCTCGAGATTATGAACCCTGGCGACTTTGCCCCTGAAGACACCATCTACCTCGACATGTTCATCGCCCGGAACTTGCCCAAGTTTCCCCAATATCTGCTTTTCCCTGGATCCACCCTGAGGAGAATCCTCACAGGTCTCTGCAACTACCCTGGAGAGGATCTCGCCGAAGATGCTCAGCTCAGCGCCGAGTACCTATTGTCAGTCTATCACCCTCCAGACACCAACAGCCTGTTGCCAATCTTCAAGAAAGCCGGTTTCTATCGTATCCTGAAACAACAGTACAAGGCGGATAGGGAATATGGCATGCTGGTTCGGACTCATTTTGAAGACCATGATGAACGACATGCAGTCTTTGACTGCATCAGCGAGTGTTTCCGGCCGCATAGTGGCCTGAGCACTAAACAGTTGCAAGACGTCGAAGATGTGATCCGTGAGCATGCTCGAGATCTCATCGAGCTTGACCCCCGAGACTCTGCAAGGTCACTCGCTAACCAATCTTCTGATCTTCACCAACACATCTTGAACTCTGTACAAAATGTGTCCGACTTGCAATTTGAGTATCTCCAGACGTTATTCGAGCCAGGCGGTCACGACAGAAAGGAAGCACTAGTGGCAAACCCAGAGCGCGATCTCCTCGAGCGATACGTCCAACTCATGTGTCAATTTGACCCTGGTCATGTATCCGACTACATCAGTGTTGTTCAATCTGCAAACCTGAGACTGAGCATTCTGCTGCCAACCATGGAGGATACGGGCGTAATAGATGCTGCCGTGACGCTCATGGCTCGCGAAGGCCAGGTGAAGGAAGCTATGGACAGACTCGTCAAACATCTTGGGACGCTCGAATCCGCTCTACAAGGTATCTTGGCGGGCGTGGAGGAGAGCGAAGACCGTCTCGGTCTACAAGATGCTGCAGAAGATGCTCTCGGGGCCCTCCAGAAGTATGTTCATGTTGGCATTTGGCTATGTCAGGGACAAACAAAGTCAACCGCGAAGACCAAATCCGTCTCCCAGCGGGGGCAGCGGCAAGCTGCCAACGAGACGCTTTCCGCTTCCGAGGCGCTCTGGCTCAGCCTCATAGACGCGGCTGTCCATACTACTCGACAGCTGTCGGCGACCATCGATGCAGTCGGAAAAGCGCAAGACGATGGGGACCGCGATCTTGAAAGCTGGGAGCGTCTCGATACAGACAAACTGCTGGGGCTTCTGCGGTCTTTGGTCCAACACACGTTCACCGCTCTCCTGACGACGACGTCCAGCTCTTCCAATGCCCAGGCCAACGGACGGGTCCTCACCACCGCCGGCAACAATATGTCATTCTTGCGCATACTGCGAGAGTTTCTTGCCCACGCCGCGGCCTCGTCACCAAACCTAGCGGATCTGAGGGCGGTTCTAGCCTCGATTTTCTCAGCTTATGCATACGAGGAGTCGATTCTTCGATTATCGAACCGACTTCTCGAGCGAAGCCTGTTCGTCAATGTCAAGCAGTCGGTACAGTTGAGACAACGAGGCTGGCGGCCGAAGGGCTCCACATGCGAGGCGTGCGGCCGGCGCGTCTGGGGACCAGGTGTATCGGGTAATGTGTTTGAAGCTTGGGAGGATAAGCAGGCTGCTGAAGAGCAGAAACAGGCCGAGAGAAAGGCTCTGCTTGCAAGCACCACGGACAGAACTAAAGGCAAAGGCGCGGCAGCACATTCTAGACTACCTCCACATGAAGCGCGGGGTAAGGGCAAGATCGGTCTAGGCAATGGCGCAGAGCTGGCCCAGGATGCCGCAGGAAACAAATCAGAGGATGGCTCCCATGACGGCGACGACGCTGCGGGTCTCGCTGTAAATAGCATGCGCGAACAGCCTTTGGGGCCATTGGTTGTTTTGGCGTGTAGGCACATTTATCACCAAGCGTGCCTGGATGCTTTGCAGTCACAAGAGGAAGAGAGCGGTAAGAAGGATAGGACGAGCCTCGAGGCAAGCCATTCCAGGGAGTATAGATGCCCGGTCGATGGGTAGGGACGGGCTTAGCTTGGCAGCGATTACCTCTATACTATGTACGAAATACCACGACTTCATGACTGACCATACCAATTCACTCATGATTTGGGTTTCATCGTCTTTTCGTGTCCTGTCCCACGTGCCGCAGGACTCCATTCGATGTATCGGAGATGCCGAGGCTTATGAGGCTGTGGTTTGGCGTTGATCATATGCTGGGGACTGTCATCGAAACAGCGCTCATTGGCCTGGCTGAATCCTAGGCCTGGCCTCCCCTGACAGCCTTGCATCGGCCCCTAAATCCAGTCCGCCCGCCCCGCCAGTCTGAATGCGCCAGGAACGTAGGTGCCTTTTTGGGGGGGCATCAGTAAGACCCTTGGACCTGGACCCGGATTGAACACGAACACGCGACATCATCTCGGCCACACCTTGACGACATCGTGCGAGCGACCTTCATGACCGCGCGCCCGCTTTGCACGAAGATGCGGTGAAGAAGCATCAGTCCATATAGAATCCCGAACCCAACACAAGGTCGCCCCCCATGGCGATTCTCTCCTACCTCGGGTCCATCTATGACCTCGACACACTCGACACTCGCTTCACGAGCCCCTCCTCCGTCCCGTACAAAACTGTCGTCGAAGCGCGTGCCGACCCCGCGTTGGGCGGAGAACCTCCAATCAAGGCCCACAGTCGCTCGCAGCCGTCAAAATGGAGGTCTCCAGAGTTTATCATGTACTACCTCGTGCTGTCAGTCGTGGTGCCGTGGATGTTCTGGATCGCATACGACGTCTCGCGGCGTAAGATGGCCACTCCTGCGTTGATGATGTGTGCTGACCCCGCGCACGCAGCTACCGATCCTCGATACCACAAATACGAAAGGTTGCTTTCTGATGGCTGGATTCCAGGGCGCAAGATTGTACGTAATGATTGCCTTCCCCGACGAGACCACCAGCTGACAACCTCAGGATGTGTCCGACCAGCAATATAGTTTCTTCCGATCCAATCTCCCTGCCATGAGCGCTCTTCTGGTCGTGCATCCGCTGCTGAGAAAAGCTTGGAACTCGGTTTTCCCCGTATCAAGCGAGCTGCACCGAAGGTCAACCGCCGACCAGGGAGCTGCGCGACTGACGCAGCGTGCGAGCTTCGACTATATCTTCGCCCTGGTCTTCCTCGCCGTTCTTCACGGCGTCTCTGCGCTCAAAGTGCTGGCCATTTTGTTTGTCAATTACAAGATAGCTACGGCTCTGCCGAGGAAACATGTGCCCACGGCGACCTGGGCTTTCAACGTCATTACGCTCTTTGCCAACGAGACTTTCCAGGGGTATCACTTCAAGCAGATAGCCCAGTGGCTGTCTCCTGTCTCCGCCGATATCCATGCGGCACAGCCCTTTCTCGTACAATGGGGCGCGACTCTGGACAGCTATGGCGGCCTGAACCCTCGTTGGGAGGTACTCTTCAACCTTACCATCTTGCGCCTCATCAGCTTCAACCTCGACTATTACTGGAGCCTTGACTCCCGTAGTGGAAGCCCGCTCGAGGTAAGCTTCGACAAACCGCCTCACAGACTCCTCTGTTCCGTATTATCCGTGATGCTGATATTCCCAAGAAGAAGCAACTCGACCCCTCCAATCTCTCCGAACGTGACCGTATCGCCATCCCGGCTGAACCCCAGGACTTCACCTGGCGGAACTACGTTGCATACACCATATATGCCCCCCTCTACCTCGTGGGACCCATCATGACCTTCAACGACTTCATATCACAGCTCAAGCACCGTTCTGCCAGTATCGAAGGGCCCCGGACGGCCCGGTATGCGATCCGCTTTGTGTTCACCCTTCTGGCCATGGAAGTCATCCTCCACTACGACTATGTTGGCGCCATCTCCCACGCCGCCCCTGTCTGGGCCGACTACACGGCTGCTCAGCTGTCCCTCCTTTCCTTCTTCAACCTTCACCTCATCTGGCTCAAACTGCTCCTCCCCTGGCGCCTCTTCCGTCTCTGGGCCCTGCTCGACGGCGTCGACCCTCCCGAGAACATGATCCGCTGCGTCTCCAACAACTTCTCCACAAAGTCTTTCTGGAAGGCATGGCACCGCTCCTACAACCGCTGGCTCATCCGCTACATCTACGTGCCCCTCGGCGGCGCCGACTTTGCCGGCGGCTGGCGCCGCTCCGTCCGCTCCGTCGCGACCTTTCTCCTCGTCTTCACCTTTGTCGCGCTGTGGCACGACATTCGTCTGCGCCTGCTCATCTGGGGCTGGCTCATCGTGCTCTTCATGATGCCCGAGGTCATCGCCGGCTTCCTGTTCCCGGCCAAAAAGTACACGGCCAAGCAGTACCGCATGCTCAGCGGCGCCGGTGCCGTGGCCAACGTCATCATGATGATCATGGCCAACCTCGTCGGTTTCGCCGTCGGGCTGGATGGGCTGCAGGCGATCTTGTACCAGATCCTGCACGACTGGTCCGGTGCGTGTTTCCCGTCTCCTCCTCTCCTCCTCCTCCTCCACGTTCGTTTCCTTTGAGCTGACGCTTACCAGGGCTCCTCTTCCTCGTCACGGCATGCGGGGCGCTGTTCGTGGGCATCCAGGTCATGTTTGAGATTCGCGAGGCGGAACTCCGGAAAGGCATTTCACTCAAGTGCTAGGCGGTCTGGGGCGTGTACTCGTTTGTATATTGCACGACGAAGATTTATCTCAAGTATGATATCTCACCATCTGGTAAACTGCCCTCCCGTTCTCAAAGCAGCGTGTTTCGCCGACATTAGGCATTATGATTACGTCGTTCTCTCGTCGCTCCCCCCATCTTGTCCGAACTCTCAGAACCGATCGACCGGCCCGTCGAGCTCGGCCTCGCGGTCATGGTTTGGCTTGGCGGTATGGCCAATGGTACCCATCTCCGTCTCGTCGTACGCGGGCTGGCGCGCAAACTTGCCATCCATGCCGAGGCGGCGCTCCGTCAGCCACTGGCGCACCCAGACGAGGCCCTTGACGGCCCAGAAGATGATGAGCGAGGCGGCGGCGATGCCGAGGATGTAGCCGACCACGACGCCGGAACCGTTGGCGTCCGGGTCGAGGAAGCTGTAGGGGTAGAAGCCGCGGGTGGCCTCGGTCATGTAGGCGAGGGCGAGGTAGAAGGCGAGGATGACAATGAGCCAGAGCATGTGGACGAGGCGCATCTGGTCGTAGGCCGTGCGGGGGATGATGATCTCGAAAAGAGCAAAGGCCGCGTTGAGGGCGTGCTGCGAAATGTTCGAGTAGGCCTGGTAGGGCTGCTCGTACCAGGGGCCGGAGTAGAGGACGCCCCAGTAGACGATGGTGACGAGCCACGGGTAGACAGTGATGGTGGTGTAGAAGAGGGCATGCAGCGCTTGCAGAGGCCGGGGGAAGGAGTCGAGCAGAGGGCGTGCGCGCAGCGCGTAGGTGAGCGTGTGGATGGCAGCAAAGGCAAAGTAGAAGCCCAAGCCCCAAAATGTGAGGATCGTGAAGAAGGAGAACTCGTCGACGGCGGCGTCGCACCTACGGGGGCCAGATATGCAGTGGCGGGCAATCAGATAAAACCGGGTGGTAAAGATGAAGATGCTCTGATGTCACGGCGGTTAGACCAGCTTCGCCGTTGGGAATCGCATGTTCCAGGAGGTCTTACAATTAGGGCGCGGCAGGCAAAAAGTACCCACGGCGACAGCAGCCATGAAGTCTCGAAGCGGTTGGAGGGATCCCAGAGGTCCCTGTCGAAGCGAAAGCCATCGGTCCATGATTTGCGCGACATGATTGCCGAGGCGGCGGCGACGGTGAAATGAGAAGATGGAGGTGCCGACGCGTTGCTGCGACGTCGTCGCGATGCAAGTTTTGGAGGTTTGCACGCTGGCGCCCAATAACTTCTCAGGGTACTTACTGTACGGCTGAATTAAAATGACTGCGGTGGGCCTTCAGCGATCTCTTGGCGGCCCTTGTACAGCATTCGCTCGTTATCTTGCTGATCCTACCCTGCCATCCAATTGCTCGGCCGGATCTAAGAGCTTAATTGGGCACTTTCGGCCGAGTTATGCTCGAGTCGTTGAGCACTACCTGACTGTACATAGTACTCACGCTCCAACTCCAGAAGATGGTTGCCTGACAGCACCTAGCCGCGGGAACCCTTCTGTTTTGATGTATGACTGGATGAGGTTGCAAAATGGCATTAGCATTGGCGTTGGCGTTGGCAATGGTGTCATGGCTGGGCATTGGGCCCCGCAGGTGCTGGCGTTGAAGGCATACAGGCCACGGTGTACTATGTACGCTGGTTGTGGTGGAGGTACAGGGCTCTGTCTACATGTACGTGCCGTGGTACCAACGTCGTATTGGCAGTCTTGGTCCTAGTCGAGCTGCCTCAGAGGAGTACTTTTTCAATGAGTGTGACCAAGTGATCTCCCAACTATGCGTTCGAGCCGTCATGGGACGAGCCTCCGACAGGCTACCCACGGCATCCACGGCAAGGCAAACCTGATGGAGGGTCGTTGGAGCAGTGAAACGGTGAAGGTGAATGGGCGGCTGCAGGTGCGAGCTGCAAGCCATTCAGTCAATAGAGCCAATGAAGCATTTGTGAGGAGGTCCTGAATCACTGTCCAGGGTTGTCGCGTCCGGCCGAAGCCCGATTGACGACTCGTGGGGTCCCGTTTTCTTTAATTGATGTGCCCACAACAGATGGACAGCCACTGGACGACGGGCCAGCCGACATTGGACGAGACGAATGAGTCCAATATTTGGGGGCTGGTGGCAGAGGACGGCACAGAAACGGCATCATGTGCCAATGGCCAAGCTTGGTCTCATCGTCATTTCATCTCCTTTCGGTCTTGTTTCTTTTCTTCCTGTGGCGGGGAGTGGGTGGATTTGGCTCGGAGGTTGGTGCTGGCTGGCGTTCGTTGGTCGTGGTGCTATTACTGGTGCTATTGCTGGCGCCGTCGATGGCCTTGGCGGCGTGACTGTGGAACTCACCCTGCTGGCGGGGAGGGGGGGCAGTCATCGGGGTTCATCACCTCGGGGATCAACTCAGAACCCGAGGGTCTGTTTCTAGGTCCAAAGCATTGGGTCAGCTTCCTGAAGCGACCAGCAGTCCAGTAATCAACATCCGTGTGAGCTGTGTCTTCCGGCGTCGGCCGCTCGCCGCAGTGACCCGCGTCAGCCAGGCAACGCGCGATGCGCAAAGTTCAATCAATCAGCCAGTTGGCAGACACAGCGTGGGGACATCGACTTGAGCGGGCAGTTTGAGAGTTAGGAGAAGCGAGCTAGAGCTGAAGAACCTGGTGCTCAGTGCGTCGGCGGCTCGCCGTCCGATGGCGTGGAAGAGTGACTCGTGTCAAGCTGGTGGGTGCGATTCGGTTGAAGCCGACAGACGAGGATCAGTGGCGACTGGTGTGTCGCCTACAGTCACTAGGGGCGGGATGTTAGATGAAGCCGCAATGAGGGTTTGACGAAGTCCAACCCAGTTCGACCAAGGTTTTCGTCCTCCACAGTCCGCAATCTCTCTGGTCGTAATTAAGCATCTCTATGAAGAGGGGTACACACAATGCAGAGCACTGAGCCTGGAAGGCCAAGATGTGCTGCTCAACAAAGACTCAGGACGTTTAAGTGCCTCGAGGACATACCTGGAGTAGAAAAGCTTCGCACGTCCAAGGTACATGTACGGCTGGGAGGGAGGCCAGCAAGGAACATGGAGGGAGAAAGAGGACGCTGGAGGGGCTGAGCCTGTTCGGTGACCTGGCGCATAAAGGTGAACACGAGGCCCAGCACACCGAAGCAGCCATTGCACGAGGTAAAAGGCTTGTCTCCTGGCGTCTCAGGGCACACCAAGGGATCGATCAACATGCTCTTTGTGTCAAGGGCGTGTTTCCCACGTTGCCGGCAAGCGGCGGCACGCACCAAAAGAAGGAAACTTTGTGGCAGGATGACTGGAATGGCGATGAGACTCACGGAGGGGTCAATCGTGCATAAATCATCGAACCCCCCCCCCCCCCCCCCCCCC